AAAACATTTTGAGAAACACCCCCATTCAGGGGTCACTGGATTTCAAAGTGGAACCAACCAAAAGGCCCGTTGCACCATGTTGGGGGGGATCCAACCTTGAAACACACACACACACAGCACACACACCCATTTTGAGAGACACCCCACATATGTCCTTCGGCGAAATGGTCCAGCCGCGCCTTGGGGGAGCACTCGTGGCCCATGGGCGCCAGGCCCCGGCAAGGCACCCGCAGGAACTCGCAGATCAGCGCCAGGGGCGCCCAGCCCAGCAGGCTGTGCCTCACAAACGGCTCACGCGGCGTGAGGCACCGCTCAAGGCATGCGAGGCACGGGGCATGGTGGGGGCATCTGGGGAAAAAGCAAACACAGACAGCCCCAAACCATCGAACCGAACCACCTGGTTCCGGGGATTGGAACGGCGGTTTGGGGATTTGCACCCGTTCTTGTGGAGGAGGTGAAAATGGGAGACCACGGAACCACCAAACCACCGGGCACCAATTGGAAGGAAGCTGGCAATCTAGGGGTTTCTCAAAATGGGTGTCTTTTGCTAAGGTTGGACCCTTTGGGGGGGGGGAGCAAAACACAGCAAAACGGCAAAACAGCAAAACATGGAACAACACAAAAAATAATTAATAATAATGGGAAATCTAGGAAGGAACGAAAGCCAAACCAGGAGCCGGGTACGCCTTCAACTTCCGGCTTGCGTGAACCTTTCCCAAGGTTCTGCCCTCAACGATTACCGAAAAACACAGAACAACTTGTCCGTCTCAGAATAGGCCATCCTGCAAATGGGTGGATGTCCGTTGAAACCACTAAAACAAAACAAATAAGATGCCCTGAACAAACCTGAAAAAAGAAAGAGACACCGCCATTCCTTTCCGCCCCTGGGAGAACAAACCGCCTGGCGCAGAGCAGGAACTCGTAGCAGAGATCCAGGGAGGCCCCCGTCCAGCGGTGAGGCGCCTTTGGCCTCACTGCCGCTGGCCGCTTCAGCAGGTTCCGCGGCTTGATCCTCACCATCTCCTGCGAAAAAGCAATTGGGATGGGGGGGGTCAAAAATTGTGGGAAAACCCCAAAATGGGTTGCCGGGTAAATGGAAACAAGGACGAAAGCCTGCGGCGCCCTGCTGTCCCGTACCCAAGTGGCATTGGGAGAACCACTCAAAGTGGTTGGCGCTTCTGAATCCACGGATGTTGATGTTTACCGGGTTGGGGGAAGGGGGGCTGAGCAGAGCGCCGGAAACACCGAAACAACCCACGAAAAGGGGTGGGGGGACCGGCTTTGTTGATGATACATCCATTTTCCATTACATCCATGGAGTTTGTGGGTGAGACAACCGTGGTGCTCAGAAGACCCCAACGCCCTCTCGGAGCACTGGCGGAATTGTTGGGACTTCTGACGGAGTCAACAGATTGTTCAAGGTGTTTGCAGAACACCTGGCTGTGGGTCAAAACCAATGGTACCATTTTGGGGTAGCTGAATTCACCACCCAGTTTAGAACCGATTTTAGTGGTTGGATTGAATCGGATGTTCACTGGGGGCTAACCGACGACCCATGGCCACCTCGAGCTTCCGAATCCCGCTTCCGCGCCTTGGAGCCATCCAGGCTCACGGCATAGCGCCCCGAGGCCCCGTGCCAGAAATGCACCCAGCCCGTTTGGCCGTTGCGGGCGGACTCGGACAGCCCATGCGTCAACACGATCTCCCCAAGCGCAAAGGACGGCTCGTCCATCAAGCGCGATCTTCCATGGAGCTAAGGAAAGTTCATATGCAACCTTTGGTTTCCATCTTTGACCTCCCAAGTTGGCCAATGAACTGCAACTCTGCAAAAAGACGCTGGCAAGGCGTTTGAGGCGTTCCAAGAATGTCACCTCCAAACTCGGGGAAGGTTTTGTCAAGTTCACTCGTGGCATGCGTGTGGCAACTGACTCGCGTCAGCTTTCTTAGGCAGACCTTCGGGCCAAAGCTGCGTAAAGCAATCGCCTCAGCCCGGGTTGCTAATCCTTCCGTGTTTAACGAGACTGGAAGCCTTTTGGATGACGCTGCAAAGGAAACCCGGCCCTGGCATGAAGCTCCCAGCCGGGTGGAAAGATCGCAGGCTCTTCCTAGATGCCTCTATTTTGACGGAAACTTTGAGGGAAGCCAAAAAGGATACCAAAAGGAAAGAGATACCAAAAGGATACCAAAGTTCTCATCCAGTTCAGGGAAACCAAAAGGATAACCAAACCAGAGCCCATGGAGACAAACCCCACGTGCGGCCGCGAGCTCGGGCGCGGGCAGCAGCTGCCCAAAGGTCTGGCAGTTGTACCGGCGCCCGGCCCAGCTCGAGCGGGGCGCCTCGGACGTGACCGATGCCGTCGCCGGATCCGACGCAGCAGCCTGGCCTTTTTGGAGGGTGGGAAAAGAGGATAGGGGGATTCCCTGGATGGACGAATCCTGCACTAGTTGGTAGGAGGTTTGTCCCATCATTCATAGGACTTCATCCATCCCCACTGGTGAATTTCGCCCATCCACTGTGTGAGTTTGCTCGCTTTGGTAAGATTTGGCACGGAGTTTGGAGAAACACGTCTGTGGAATACGTTATGGCTACCACAGGCTGGCAGTTTGGCTTCTCCAGCTGAAAACTGGGCGCCTTGCCATCTGCTCCATGGCTCTGCAAGGCGCCACGCCCAAAGCGATCCACCTCACAAGCTCGGGAATATGCTCGGGAATATGCCCTTCAGAGCTGATTCGGCGGCCCTTGCTTGGTTGATTAATTGGTGGGCTGGTTGGTTGGGTTGGGTTGGGTTGGGTTGGGTTGGGTTGGGTTGGGTTGGGTTGGGTGGGGTGGGGTGGGGTGGGGTGGGGTTGGGTTGGGTTGGGTTGGGTTGGGTTGGGTTGGGTTGGCTGGCTGGCTGGCTCTGGCGGGCTGGCTGGCTGGCTGGATGGATGGTTGGTTCGTTGGTTCGTTCGTTCTGGTTGTTCTGGTTGGTCGTTCTGGTTGGTCGGTTGGTCGGTTGGCTCGTTGGTCGGTTGGTTGGTTCGTTCGTTCGTTCTGGCTGGTGGCTGGCTGGTTGGCTGGCCGGCTGGCTCTGGCTGGCTAGCTGGATGGTTTGTTGGCTGTCTGGTTTGCTGGCTGACTGGCTGGCAGGCAGGACTCCGCAGAACGTCATTCCCTTAAATTCCCTTGTCAGCAACTGGAGAACCCACACTTCTCCAGGACTCCATCACACGGTTGGGTCACCTTGCTGGGGAATCTCATCCGCGCCTAGCCACATCCGGTTGCCTCCCCGCAACCCCTTGGGATCTCTGCATCTCTGACGTGGGTTTGCCGGGGTATGCAACCAAAGCATTCTGTGGATGGAATTCCAATCCAACTCTTTTAGCAGTCATGTTCCACCACTCTGTTTGGAAACGATTCCACCCTCCTGCCAACAATGATGGAAGATGACATCGAGGGTGTTGGAAGACGACTTTCCTTTTGGGGAAGCCCCCTATCCACTTCCATCATTCTTGGAAAGAGGCTACCCTCTCGCAGGTTTTCTCGAGTTCCTAGAGGAACCAATCCGGCCACCGCTCGCCACCACTTGCTACCGCTGACCCCGCGGCCTGCATCTGAGGTCCGCCAGACACCGCACCGGCGCCATCGCCTCAATGGCTCGGCCCATGGCACCCTGAGAGAAGGCTCGTGCCGTGCCTCTCTCAAAAAATGGGGAAGCCACCAAAGTGGGCTGTCCTCAGATCTTCCGCTGAAAGTTGGGCGAAACGAACATCCCCGCGAAACCCCACAAAAACTAAAGATCTCAAGAGGATGGCTGGGAACCACCAAGCAAAATGAATGGCGTTCCAGCCGAACAGGGTACCAAAGGACATGTTTCACCAACTTCCCAAAGTCATGCGCCGCCGCATTTGGGCACCTCGATGACGGCATAGAACTCCGAGAGGGAGATGGAGCCACTCCTCACCAGAACTGCTGAAAACCTGAGAGGCCTCCTTCCTCTTGCCTGCACCCTTTGATTTTACTTGATTTCGGGCCACTTTTGAGTGGGGCCAGACCACTTCGATCACCCCACGCCCATGGCCAATGAGTTGGGTTGAGAATGGGGGCCTCGCAAATAATTTGGGCACCACTGCCCCAATTGAACATGTGCCCAGAAACTGGACAGGCATCGGATGGGAGGGCGACAGCCGCCTCCGTGTTTCTAGAATGCCAAATGATTTACACGAGCTCTCGAACCGAACGCGTTCCATTTCCGGGTGGCCCTATCGTCCCCCCTTGGGCCATTGGGAACCCGTCCGCTCGCAACAGAGTCCCGCGCCCATCGGTGTCAAAGAAGCGGAAGATCATTTCGTGCTCCTCGCGAATCGATTGGTGGAAGCGCAGCCATCAGGCTCTGCCAGGCAATGGGGTCGCTGTCTTCAAGCTCGTCTCTTGGACTTAGGCTCTGCCAGCCTCAGAGCTTTCGCCACAAGCCGCAGATCGAAGTGGCTTAGGGTTTTCATTTACACCCCTCAACCACACGTCGTCTCACTCCCTCTGGAGTCATCACGACCGGCAAAATCAGTCCTCCACGGGCATGTCTGCAAAGTGCTGCGTCAGAAAGCCGTAGAACCTGAACGAATTATGATCGCCACCGGAATAGATGGGTCTGTTTCTTTGGGGAATACCTTTTTGGATTGTGTAAAAAGAAAATCACAAGGGCCCCCATTTTAAGACACCCCATATGGGTACGTGAATCAACTGTTTGGAGCCTTTGGTGGACATCACATAAACAGAGGAGTCATGTCCAACGATCATTTTGCAGGATGTCTTATATAAATGTTATACCCAAATCAGAAACTGCCGAGGAAATAAGAAGTTGCCCATCAGAGATACATCGACCTCCTAACAAGGAACACAAAAACCAAGAGGGCGTGCCTTTCTGTTGGGGGACACCCCAAAATGGAATTGGTTCCTCTTTGCTTTTATTGAAAACTATGAAGAAAAAAAGATGCACCAACTCCAACAAAGAGGGGCCCAT